GGCTCAAAGTGGACGATCCGGGTGTCGTTCTATTAGAGGTTTTACGGTAATTACGAGTAAGAGTTGAATTTGTTAGAGAAAATTCATTTTAATTGATTTCAGAGTAAAAGAAAATTCAGATGGATGCAAGACAGCGAATGTCACTTGTTCTGTAGCCAAAGGTTGGGATTGTGCCGTTGTCGAAGTCATGGTGAGAATTGGATCAGACTTTTTTCAATCATTTTTCAGAGATGTTCGCAAATCTGGAATACTGATTCTAGAACACAGAATTCGGAATGCAGAAATCTCTGTTTTTTCTATATATCTGAATCAATACATTTTACAGGGAACAATTGATGGTCAAGTAGTATACACCATTTCTGAGCAATCTTCTGAAAACTTTGCTAGTTCTTCTATCACATGCAGTGATGACGGACAGTATACTGCTGGGGGCTCGTAAGTCTTCGGAGATTCAAATCATTTATCTCATAATCCTTTTTAAGAAAACTATCAGATGTGTGGTGCAATACTCACACGTGCACACCAAAACCAACTGAACCAAGTGGTAAATCCAAAAATTACTGAACACTCTGATAGAATGATCCTCCTAACTGTCAACTTTCAGCCAACCTATTTCCGTTCCTGCGGAAGATATCAAAAAGTGGTTAACACACAGAATATTTTCTACGTTATGATAACTGTTTTATCAGTTGAACACTTTTTGATATCTTTCACAGGCCATGAGATATATGGGCTCAAAGTTTGCAACTACGAGGATCATTCTGTTAGGAAATTAGAAATCTTTTCCAAAATATAATAAAATTCGATTCAGAAAAGAAATGCAATACCTGCAGCATGGATGGAATCATTAGAGATATGGGTGTTGAGGCTATTCTGGTTAATTACGAGTAAGAGATTAACTTGTAATAGAAAATTCAATTTGAACAATTTCAGAGAAAATCAAAATTCAGATGGATGCAAAACAGCAAATGTCACTTGTTCTGTAGCAAGTGGTTGGGATTGTGCCGATCTATCTGTATCGGTGAGAATAAGATCAGATTCTTCTTTCTTTCATAAATTTTCGGAATGCGGGATTCGGAATTCGAAATTAGGAATACAGTTTCCGGAAATTGGAAACCGTATTCCAGACATCTTTGTTATCCATACATTATCCGCAACAATAAAGTTTTAGGCATTAGCTGGTGCAGCAGTCTACACAATTTCTCAGCAATCCGCTGAAAACTTTGCTAGTTCTTCTCTCACATGCAATGATGACGTACAGTATACTGCTGGGGGCTTGTAAGTCTTTGGAGATTCAAATCATTTATCTCAGAATTCATTTTAAGAAACCCTAATTCTGTGTGGTGCAGTGCTCCAACATGTTCACCAAAACCAGCTTGACGGATTTGTGGTGTCAGTACGAGAATTGTCGCCCTGCATAACTGTCGCTTTTGATTTCTTAATCATACAATTCTCATATAAATTGGTTTATCTTGGCTGTCCTTTCAAAATTATCCAAAACCAAAGAAAAAAAACAACTGCCTAGAATATAACGATGGGTTTACAGATAAGATATTTGTCGCTATAGGATTCCAGCCATTATTTGAGATTTTGAGATTCTGAGACTCTGAGATTTTGAGATTCTGAGACTCTGAGATTCTGAGATTCTGAGAACTTGTGATTCTGAGTTTCTGATATTTTGAGATTTTCAAATTTTGGGGTTTTGAGATTCTGAGATTTTGAGATTTTGAGATTACGAAATTTTGATATTTTGAACATTTAGAACATTTGAGATTTTGAGACTCTGAGATTTGTTCTCAAGACACTGTTCTTGAATTCTTGAAAACAATAAAAAGTTTCTCAGATTCTGATTTCTGAGTTTCTCAGATTCTGAGATTCTGAGATTCTGAGATTCTGAGATTTTGTGGTTTGGAAAGTTAGAGATTCTGAGATTTGGAGAGTTGGGGATTCTGAGATTCTGAGATTCTCAGATTCTCAGATTCTCAGATTCTCAGATTCTCAGATTTTGAGATAGACATTGATCTTGATTTCTTGAAAACAATAAAAACTACAGTAATTCGACGCGAATCTTCTATTTTCGTTTTCATGAACCATTATTTTGAAAATCTATTATTTTAAAGGTGGTGTACGGTGAAATTTTTTATTGCATCAAAATGTGCAGAAATGCATGTAGATTGAATTAAAAATAAAGAAAAAATTCAAAAAAAATTCCTTCATCGAAAAATACGCTGAAAGCCCTTAGGGACGAGGTTTTTTCTAGGCCGCCCGGTGAGAAAAAAGCGCGCGAATTCAAACTTTTAAAATTTTTTCGCTCGTTTTCACTGTTTTTTCAAATTTTCCGATGTACCTGGAAGAAAAATTGGCAAAAACCTAGAAAACTCTTGAAAAAAACCGAAAAAGGAGTGATTTTGTTAGGAGTGATTTCCGATATTCCTTCAGATAGCTCGTAGAACAAAGCAAGAGATGTTGAATATTATTTTAGATATCCTCAGATAGGCTAGAGAGTTTCCACAGTTTGGAATTATTCTTACAACTTAAGATGGGCTTACAATTAAAGGTGGGGGGACAGGAGAATTTTCGTAGTTTTTTTGTAGCTAGAGTATGCATTCTACCGTCACGGTGTACAACGCTTAATGTCACTCTGCGTACAGCTGTCGTCCTCGCCTTTATGTATGCAATCGAGGTGCCGCTTTCTCTTTGCCCGCGTGGCTCAGTCGGTAGCGGCGCCGCACCCTCAATCATCGTCCTCACAAGTTCAACTCCTCGAGGGGCATCTTTGAACGGAATTTCAAGAACATTATTTTTTTCATGTCCCCCCACCTTTAAAGAATACAATAATGCCAATAGCATAAAGTTGTGGAAGTAATGTAAGATACATTACTTCCGCAACACAATCACTTTTTAACATGACAGATTTTCAATGTTCTAGCTCATTTTTTTCGAAGAGAATTTCGAAATTCTTCAGTATTTTTTGTGTTAACTCTACTGATCACAAAAAGGCTAAAACTAGAACTCCTGATCCTTTTATACTTTTTTCCATCTAATTGTTCTTCTAATTGTTCTTTCCATCTAATTGTTCTTCCAAACTGTATTAATTATGAATTATTCATTATCCAAATTTGCATTCCAAAACGAAACTTTTCAGTTGACTTCCTATCATTTATCATTTGTTATGTTGGCATTCAACCTTCTCTTTAACTTGTGTCTTTTCAATTTCGCAGAATCTTGTCTGAAAATCAGATATCCAGGACCACGTATGTTTTTAAAATATCTAGAATCATCTGTCCTCTGTTTCCAGCAAAATGTGAATGCCCAAGTCTTCTTCTGACTTTGTTAACATACAAAGAATACGACGTTTCTGGTGTGGTCCTCAGTGGGGTCAGAGTGATGGCTCCTCCACAATTTGTTCTTGAAAACTGCACAGTGTCAATGTACTGTGTTGATGACCTTGAACTTGTGGTTTTTGACACGGATAGAACTCATCAGGTATGTTTTTTTCGGATATTTTTGAACCTTTTGAAACTATTTCAGTTTCTAAATCGTCCTGCCGATGGTATTTGTGATCCATACACTCAGAAGTGGCTTATTGGAGATAAAGATGGTACTTTGATCACAGTGAATCGTCTGTATGGTACTTGTTGGAAGTTACTCAATCCTCCAGTTACTCAAGTGCCTGTAACTCCAAGTAAAAAAGTACTTGGTTTGTCCAGATTCAAACATTTATTTTCAGAGCCTGCCTGTAGTAATTGTGAACTGGCAGATTTCGAAGAGCAGGATATGCATGGAATCAATTTTGGTTACTTGTAGGAGAAAATTAAAAACGAAAAGTGTGTATCAAAAAGTTTAGGTATCCCTATATCTATACGGAAGATGGATGTATTAGTATGGACATGATTTGCCGGAGAACTGATGATCTGGAATGCCATGATGTAGAAATATATGTAAAAACAACTGATGACCTTCTAATTGAGTTTTTTCTCGTTTCCAGGCTCAAAATTATGACGGAATCTTTCCAATTGCATCTCATAAAAATGCTACTTTTGCATCAGTCCGTTTAGTTTGTGACTCTAGAGGATTCCGTTTACACTACAACAGGTAAGAACTTGATATATCAAACAACCGAACGAATCAACTTCAGCATTATGGAAATAGGGAAGCTTACGTGCATGTTCACTGATTGCTCGTGAGTTTAAAGAATTCGCAATAAATGGTTTTCACTGCATTTTCTTCTCACAAGGAATTCACAAGAAGAGAGAGAGAGGGAGAGAGAGAGAGAGAGAGAGAGAGAGAGAGAGAGAGCCGCAATTGGGTGCATGAGCAGCTGTGGGCGTGAGGTCACAGGTTCAGTTTTGGCGGCTGCCAAGACCTCCTTTAAAACCCTAAAGTCCACAGCGTGTGATGAGGATCAACAGACACGTCTAGCGTTTTATTTATTGTCGAATTTAAAAAAAAGTGACACCTGAGAATTCGAAAACTTTCGCTTTTTTTGATTTACGAAAAAGCGCGGCAAAATCGTAATGTTTCAGACTTTCGGCTCGTTCGAGCCACTTTTGCGATTAAGTTCAGTTTTTTGCTGATGCGTCTCAATTGGGATTTTTATGTGGTGAGAGATTGTCGAAATAATAAAACTGTCACCCTACGACACCCTGCGGTGAGAAGTTGAGAGGGAAAAAAAGATCGCTGAGCGCGCCAAGCACGAATGCAAATACCTTTTATCTTCGTCTTATAAGTGTTCTGCCCCATTTTTCAACAATCTGGTGCTTATTTATTGTAGAAAAGGTATTTGGCTTTCAGAAAAATAATGTATTACATCATTATTGTCGGAATAAAAAAAGTGAGATTCGGTGTTTGCGTACTTTGAATCCCGCCTCCCCCATCGACGCTCCGCCCATCGCTTTGCAAGTGCGGCGTGGTGTTTTGGCGCTACTTGGGAGATCATCGGATTTAATGAGGTTTTCATAGAAAATATGATCCCCAAGTGGCACGCCAAAACACCAATATAATACTTTATTCACAATAGATAAGCAATAGATTGTTAAGAAATGGGGCCGAAACCTTTTAGACGAAGATAAAAGGTGTTCCGGTTGAAAAAAATCTACGGTGTTGCAAGAAAGGAGCCAAGGCGCTGCCTGACACGCCATGCGTGGTTGGCGCGCTCAGCGATTTTTTTTCCTCTCAACTTGTCACCGCAGGGTGCCGTGACCCCGTGTTTCCGGACTCAGTACACAGCTTACACTGAGTCTGCAAACTCGCAGGTGGAGTTTTATTATTCCAGCAATATTTATTTAATATGTGACGGATAAAGTTTTTTTTTCAGTTCAATGCAACTGAAGTTGAGGTCGAATGTTCACCGCTTCTGGATGAACACCAATGGTTTGTTATCAAATCAGAATCTGTACCATTTATCTACAATTTCTATGCTGTTTGTGTCGCATTTGTGCAACTTTTATTGTTCAAATTTTAATTCAAATAAAACTTCATGCAATATGATTAAATAAAATTGAAATTTCAATATATAACAAAATGAACAAAATAGTAACAATGTAGACAAGTCGGAAACGAAGTCATATATAATAGAGGAACTTGGTATAAGATATGATACATGCAATGAAACGTATACTTAGAACTCTTCGGAAATGAAGGATGCAACCACTGGAACCTGCTTCCGTTCTAGAACCTTCCGTTTGATTCGTTTGTTGATCACATCGATTTCCTCTGAAAATAAAGGAGTGCATTCTAGGAGGAAAGTGAAATCTAACTTCCAAAACATTCATTCACCAGATTTTTCAAGAATTCGTCACCGGCGAAATGTCTGAAATTTCAAAAAAATTGTTTTAACATCCTACATACTTCATTCTTACTCGTACAATCCGATTCTGGGCACCTTGACAGTTGGATGTTTGCTCACATAATGACTCCGTAATTTATCGTAACTGCTCATCATCAACTTCTGTCTTTTGCACTTTATGCATTTGAAGACTTCTTTCGTGTTGTGAACCAGAGCATGGGATAGGAATTGTAATCTCGCTTTACGTTTCCATTTGATTTGATGATTGCAATTCGGAAAATTGCAATTGAACACGAACACCCCGTTTTTGTCACAATCCTCCCAATCAACGTAATCTGAGTCGCTCGTGGTTTTCAGAAAATATTGCTCTTTTGGATACTCTTCTGATAAATCAACAGTATCCTCAATCGAAGCTGTGTGATACTGATCAAAAGAAGGATCAGCTGGATTCTCTACTCCTGCTCTAATACATTCGACATCTTCAGCCACTTCAAATCTCAGATGATTTCCTTCAGTCTCATGAGGAATTTCAGATATTCTTTCAGGCAAGTTAAGCGTGAATTTTCGTTGAATTTCCAGTTTTGGACTACAAACTTTTGGAGTCGAGCATCTGGGAACATGGCATACTGTAGTGCTGAGTGTCGGTTGGCGCGATGTATGAGAAAAATCAATACTCGGGTAAACCGGAGATGATTCGAATTGCGCAGAAACCTGAAAAAAAGTTATGTGAGTCTGAAAAAAACTATAGGAAACCGACAGTTTGTACATTCTCCCCAACGACTTCTAATAAGCGATTTATAACCTCATCCACGTCCAATTTCCACTGATTATCCATTGAAAAATTATCATCCGTGTTAGGAGTGATTTCAGATATCCTTTCAAGCAAGTTAAGCGTGAATTTTCTTTGAATATCCAGTTGTCGATTGTTCGGTGTTGAGCATCGCGGAACTTCTAAATTGCATACTGTAGTGCTGAGTGTTGGTTGGTCATTTATTCTCGGCTGAGGAAAATCAAAAGTCGGGTAAACCGGGAAGGATTCCACAGAGAATCGCCCAAAAACCTGAAAAAAGGTATGTGAGGCTGAAAAAGCTATAATGGGGTTATTCAATGAGAAGCAAATCAGAAAAATGCTGGTTTTTCCTTATGCAAAGGGGAACAAAACCAGCGATTTGCTGAGACCGATTGCTGAAGTTTTCGTCTGGTCGTGAAGCTTCACGAGGACAAGACATGGCTTAGAAAACTCCAGCCATCGGCCCCAGCAATTTTCTGATTTGCTTCTCACTGAATAGCCCCATAAGAAACCGACATTTTGCACTAGAGGAATCCTATGTATGTTCTCCTCAACGACTTCTAATAGGCGATTTATAACTTCATCGACGTCCAATTTCCACTGATTATCTATTGAAAAATTATCATCACTGTTAGGAGTGATTTCCGATATCCTTTCAGGCAAATTAAATGTGATTTTCCTTCGAAGATCCAGCTGTCGATTGTTTGGAGTTGAGCATCGGGGAACGTCTACATTGCATACTGTAGTACTGAGTGTTGGTTGATAAGGAATCTCTTCAGTAATATCTACATTTGTCAATCCGATACTTATCTGAAAACAATATTTTTGCGTTTTTCTCAAGAAAGGTATTTTTAAAATTTTTTTCTTTTTTTCAATGTGAATCTACATGATTTTCTGTACAAAAAAGACACTAAAAATTGGAAATTTTCGAAAAAAAAATTGATTTTTCTCAATTTTCTTTTGCAAAATTTTTAGACCTTTTAAGTTTTTCAGCTATTTTCAAAGATTCTTTTTTGATTTTTCCGGTTTTTGTTGTCTGGAATTTGATGAAACGGTGCTTGTTTACTGTGGAACCGGTTCCGACCCATTGGATATGCAGAGAAGTATCGAAATCGTCGAGCACTGGTGACAAAATAAGACATCCGTTATGCATTATGGTAAACGCAGTCCTAAGACAGTTTATTTTATTAAGGGTTTCCCCATTACTCCGCATCGCTCATTCAAGGACCTAGGTATACTAGTTGATGACCAACTTCAATTCGACAAACACATCAATCTTATTGCCTACTCTGCTAAACTCAAGTCCCGCCAAATACTGAAAACGTTCCAATCGAAAAACCCTTTCTATATTTCCGTCTCTTCGACACCTACATTAGACCGGTCCTCGAATACGGTTGTGAACTTTTCGATCCATACAATGCCACACTTGCCAATAAACTAGAATCTCCTCTTCGTTATTTCACCAGAAAAGTCTTTCAGAGATGTAATATGCCCTTCAATTCATACACCGATCGCCTATCCCAGTTCTCTATGCTAACCACCCTTCATCGCCGCACCCTTCTAGTTCTTCGTACCTATCACAAAATTGTTATAAACTCATACCATTTTCCCTCTATGTCGTCCTACATTCTTCCCAGCCATTCTAACAGAGCCCTGTATTTGTTCAAAATCAACGGTCAATACTTTGACTGCTTCCTTCACAGAAACTTGTCTATGTGGAACCGTGTATGTAAGGTGATAAATTCTAAGCTCAGTCCGGTGGCGTTTGCTAAGCGAGTAGGAGCGATTCCTTATGATATTCTGATCCCTCCCACTTGACCTACAGGACTCTAGTCGGTCCGTCTGGTCATTTTACTTTTTTATTTGTACAGGTTCCATTTCTTGCCAAATTACCTATCTATCGATTTCCCCTCATGCATTGCAAATAAATATATTATTATTCGACGTGATTATGTTTGCAAAAAAACTAAAAAAAACTACAGTAATCTACAGTGATCAAAAACCGTTCCATCGAATTTCAGGCAAAAAAATCGGGAAAATCGAAAAAGAATCTTCAAAAATAGCTGAAAAAACCGAAAAAGGTATAAAAATTGAAACTTTTTTTTTTTTTAAATCGATTTTTTCTCGACTCGTGCAGTTTCCTTCAACTTTATCACAATCAAAAAACTATTTTTCGAACAATTTTTCCAAACATTTCAAACCCACCAGCAAAGATTCCAACGAAATCCCATCCTTGGCCAACTGCTTGAGGCTTTTCCCGAATATTCGAATGTTGATTATCGGCTGGCCTTCCGCTGCGCCCATCTGTTTAATCATTATTTCTTATCAGAAAGATTCCAAAAATATCAGATTGACAGAAAAAAAATCGCTGAAATAGATAACAGGGACTCCGAGTTGACTTGAAAAAAACAGAACTTTATAAAATCAATAAACAAATACAACGAAACAAGAAATGAATGATACATGAGGAATGTAGAACAGAAATTCAAAAAGAAATCAAAAAAATAAAAGAAAAAGAGAGTCGTTGCTTCTTGAGAGGAAATTACAGCCGTCTCAGCGGATTCTGCGAAAACTGAATATGAAATTAATGGGAATTTTGGGAAGGAAACCTACTAGAACATGTTGGATGGCCCAGGAATATTATTGTCGTCGTCGTCTTCTTCTTCTTCTTCTTCCTCTTCGTCTTGTCTCTTTTCGTCATCTCCTTCAGTCTTCTTTTCACATTTTCTTCTCAAATTTTTGATTTTTCCAATTTTTCCGATGATTGGCAGTTGCGCTGAAAACGAATTTTGAATGTTAATTTGCTTCTGAGTACTTTCACACTGATTGGAGCTGCGTCCGAAGGTCCCACAACGACAACTACAGTAACCTAATTGCTGTTTTTCGTCGGTTTTTCTGTTTTTTTTTTGCCCAAAAAATTTGGAAAAGTACAATTTTGAGTGAAAAAATTGACACTGCACAAAAATCGAGAAAATAATCCGAAAAAAAAAAGTTTTTTTTCGATTTGTTGCGAAATCTTTAGACCTTCTTATGTTTTTCAGCTATTTTTGAATATTCTTTTTCGATTTTTCCGGTTTTTAAAAAATGTAATTCGATGGAACGGTGTTGGATTACTGTAGACTACTATAGATAACTCAAGCAAAATCACGTCAAAATGCACAAAAAATTTTGAAATTCTGAAATTTCCGAACTTCTTTCTGGACTCTGATTTTCGGAATCTCAGAATTTCAGAATCTCTAAATTCCAGAGAATTTCAGAATATTTTTAGCCTACTGTAGTTGCCGTTGTGGGACCTTCAGCTCCGATTTTTTTCATACAAGAATAATAACATACGTTCATAGCACTCATTGAAAAGATCCGTAACAGTGACATCGTCCATTTCCAGATTGAAGACACTGAAAATAATCAATTCCTTCTGGAAAACTGTCAAAAACTCACTCTAGAATCCTAAACTTCGAACCCTTGACCTCCGGATGCGCCTTCTTACAGTGATAACGAATCTGCTCCGAAGTGCCAAACGATTGCTCACAGATTCGACAGACGATGCATTTGTCGTTGAAATGAGTGAAGACGTGGTCGAGAAGTCGTTGTTTTCCATATCGAATCTTCCAATTCATCACTTTTCCACACCCTTCGTAATGACACTCGATTCGATGCGTCTGATCCAATTTCTTTTGTTTCTCTGACATTTTGTTTTTCGCCACTCCAAATGACACTGTCTTTTTGGCTTTCGATGCAGTCTGGGATCTCAGAATCGACTTGGTGCTAATCATATGGGGAGGTGGTGGTGTGTGTTTCGTTGATTGACTTTCTGATTCCACTGCCATCAACATCGTATCGTTGTCAGAAGTGGAGAAGAAGTTGTCATCGTCTTCTTCAAAATCTCCAGCATCCCCATAGTCCATTCCATACGAGATATTGTCTTGAAAATTGCTCATTTGGTCCATGGTTACCTAGAAAAGTCTCATTCGAAGAAATTCGAAAATTCTATGGGCGGAGCTTCGGAGCTGTTAGGTACGGTAGCAAAGTCCTCAAAGGAGCATGTGTTTTTCGTAACCATATTCTGACCTATTATGCTTGTCCGGTGCCGATTCTGGCCGAAAGCTCTTTAAAGGCGCATAGCCGGTCCTAAAGAAGAAACGGATACGGTTTTTACAAATTACTTCATGCGCCTTTAATACAGTACTTCGGTCTATTTCTGTAACAATTGTAATTGTAAGATTTTTGCTTATTTTTGTTAAAGGTGGGGGGACAGGAGATTTTTCGTAGTTTTTTTGTAGCTAGAGTATGCATTCTACCGTCACGGTGTACAACGCTTAATGTCACTCTGCGTACAGCTGTCGTCCTCGCCTTTATGTATGCAAACGGGCGTCCGCTTTATCCTTGCCCGCGTGGCTCAGTCGGTAGCGGCGCCGCACCCTCAATCATCGCCTTCACAAGTTCAACTCCTCGAGGGGCATCTTTGAACGGAATTTCGAGAACATTATTTTTCATGTCCCCCCACCTTTAAAATTCTTCAGACTTTCATGAATAATCAGCTAAATATGAAGTACCTTATAAAATAGAAAAACTGCCAAAAACAGGTCAAAATAAACGAGTACTGTATTAAAGGCGCACAAAACCGTACCCGATTTCTCTTCAGGACCAACTATGCACCGTTAAAGGCCACAAGGTTCATACAAAATAATACCGGACACAAGCTCCACCCACCCTCCAACTTTCGGCCGCAACTGGCATTGAAATCATTTCTCTTTTTACTCGAACCTGCGCTAAAGGCTCTGGATCCGGAAATTGAAAATTTGTGACTGGCTTCAGCTCAATCAACGACGCAGCATCGCAATACTGATCATCGCTCCTCTGGTCTTCAAGATCCATCAGTTCACCATCTTCATTATTGTTCGTATTTTGAGATGTGGGAAGAAGCAACTTGGGATTAATCGTATAACACTTCTTGATTTTAATTGTGAAACCGGGGCCGTGTCTTTGTTGATCGGATGCGCTTCTTGTCAATCTTAAATCGAATTTTCGCTTTTTTTGAAACCCAAAAATGTATCTCCTACGCTGGTCGCTTCATTTTCGGCTCTTCTTCATCTGCTTTTCCTTTCAACTTGCTTTTCAGGTTCGGAGCACTCAATCGTCTGGAACGTCTAGTTGAAGGTTTTACTGCTGACACAGACCGCCCATATTTCCTTTTACGGTCTTCTGAAGTAACAATCGCATCATCGTCATTGGATTCAATATCAGAGAGAATTTCCGGCATGTTCAATGTGAAAACTTCATCTTGATCGATTTCAGAGCTGATTGGAGTTGAATACCGGGGAACGTCAGCGTAAGTGGTGCTTAGCACCTTCGATCTTGTAACGTCACCATCCACAACCTTCTCAATCAACTCGTTAGGATTCGCTGGACTTTCCAACTCGTCAGAAGCTTTTTCAACGAGTTCGCTAAGCAATTGTACAATGACGTCATCATTTTCGTCGTTTTCAGGTTGCTCATCGATTAAAAAACCGTCCTCCTCAAAACTGGAATTGATCTCCGAGTACTTTACAGGCAAATTCAATGTGAATTGTCGTTGCAATTCGTTTTGAGAAACCGCCGGAGTCGAAAACCGGGGACACTTCACATCGGCGATAGTTGTGCTAAGCACTGGGACAGTCACATCGGTTGCGGATTCAATAGTGGACTGATCGAATGACTCTCCTTTGTACATTGATCCCTCTACTATCCATAGTTTCGAGCAGCCGACATCGTTCTAAGAAATTGAATTGAAACAACTGTTGAGTTCTTTATCTTAACTTACCAAAAGGGCTTCGAGAACCACACCTTGTTCTTCCAAGCCTTGAAGCGTGTGTCCGTAAATGTTCACTTGAATAAATTTGTTCCACTCGTCGCAAATCATCTGAAATTCGTAGATATTGCCAGGGATGTTCAGAGCAGAATTCGGAAAATTCTGGCCATGCATTTTAAGAAAAAAACAATAATATTCTGAAGATTTGTTTCCGGAATCAGAGCTTTTCGGACTACAGTATGTCAAAGGCGCATGCAAAAAAGCTGTCTTCCGGGTCTCGAGCGTAATTACTTTTTTCGCATTTTCCGAAAATGCGAAAAAATGATTTTCGGAAGTTTTTTGTCAATTTTGACCAAGTTTTCCGCTTTTTTTGCAATGGAAAAGTAGGATTTTTACTTCGAAATTCAAATGTTTAAAAATCCGATAATTTCGGAATTTTCGAGATTCCGAAATTCCGTAACTTTGAAGCCCCAAAAAAAAACAAAAAGACCCGGATTTCAAGACAAAAAATTGCGAGACATTCAACGCAAATTTCACACAAAATTGGAAAAAAAACGGTAAATTTTGTGAAAAACGACAAAAAAAAACAGCAAAAAAGGTCTTTTTTATGAAACATGACAGGAAAGAAATGAAACATGTTAATCAATTAACAGGAGTTGCTGAAGTGCTGGGTGCATTATTATCAATCTTTCGGACCGTTCTTCTTCGAGCCAATGCATTATTGGTGATTCTGCCGACGATGTGGAGCTGTTCTGAAAGCAAAGTTGATTTGTTCATAGTTGCAAGCGGACCAGTCCTGGCAGATGGCGGGCCAGCTGATAAGTTGTCTCTAAAACGAGGTATTCAGACAGTTTTTGTACCAAATCATAGATCTCGAGAGGGCCCATCACGCCTATATCGTTCGAGCAGGATCCCGGTCCGATAAAATGTCGAAAAATGTATGTGTTTTAATGACAACCAACTTGACAAAACGCGGATTTTTTGTCATTTAAACACATTTTTCAACATATTATCGGACCGGAATCCGTCTCAAATGGTATAGACGTGATGGGCCCTGTCAAGATCTATCATTTGGTAGTAAAACTGTCTGAATATCTCGTTTTAGAGATAAGTTATCAGCTGGCGCGCCACCTTCCCGGGACGGCCCGCTTGCAACATGGATTGTTTCAAAATTAATTTTTCAAAAAAAAATGCTAATACTTTTATAACACTTCTCCCAAATCGATTCAATATTAACATCTTCAAATTGCAGACTCAACACCCCGAATCCCTCCATCTTCACATCCGAATGCTTCGTTTTGTAGTGGTAGCGAATCTGGGTGACAGAATTTGCTCGGAAATCGCAATTCTTGCATTTTATGCATTTCTCCTTCAAATGAGAGAGTGCGTGGTTGGCTAGATGGATTTTCCCATATTTTCGACGCCATTGAAGCCCTTTTTTGCATCCCTGGAAGTTCAAAAATCAGCTTGAGCCTTTCTAAAATTAATTACTTTGAAGCAGCACTGAATGATATGAAGTGTATTATCTCGATTCTTTGGTGGCGTTTTGAATGAAACCGCCTTTTTATTCCCCATTGTTGGTCCATCCACAGATTTCATGATTGACTTCGTTTTAATGGTATTTGGAAGTGGTGGAGGGGTGTACATATCGATTTGAAGGGTTTCTTCGGATTCTTCTGGAATCGAGTGATAATCTCCTCCTTCTTCGTCGAAATCATACTGATTGAATGACTGATCATAGACAATATTCTCCATTTCGTGATAATGGGGCATTGATAAATCATCATGTGGTTCATCATGTGGTTCAGGCACCTGAAAGCTCATATTTTATCATTCGGGTATCAAAAACTCGGAGCTGAAGGTCCCACAACGACAACTACAGTACTCAGGTAAATCGGAAAACCTTTCTGAGCTACATTTGAGCAATTCTGAAACCTTTTCAAGCAAAAAGTCCACGATTAAACTTTTTTAAGCCATAATCAAACTTTTCAAACCTTTCCAAGCAACTTTTAAACTTTATTCAGCTGCGCTCGAAACTGAAACTTTTTAAAGCCACAGTTAAACCTTGTTCAGTCATATTTAAACTTTTCAAACCTTTTTGAGCCTTATTAAAACTTTTCTGGCTTTTCTAAAGATTTATTCTGTTTTTAAAAATTATTTTACCTAATTTTGTTTTATTTTTATCGTCTTTTAATTTTTTGTTCGTTTCCATATGTTTGAAAGTCGTAAAATGCTTATTTGAGAGAAGATCCAAATCACAATCTCCTGGAATCATAATCTATTGCTCAAGAACTATCATCGAAAAAACGTCACGCCGAATCATTGAATGAGAATTCAAACCTGCCGTCAGAACGGAGTAATTTAGCCTACGGTTTGTCAGTTTTAGTAAAAAATGAATTTACCTATCATAATTTCAGACAAGGAGAAACTTCAAACTTCCGAAGCGACAATTTGGAAAATCGTGTTACACCAATATGAGGAAGACTAGATCATGATCGCGATCACATGAACCCGCTCCAAAGACACTATCGAAACGGCTCCCGGACATTTCGCAGCCAGACATTTCGCAGCCAAACATTTCGCAGCCAGACATTTCGCAGCCAGACATTTCGCAGCCTCTGATAACGTCAGAAAATCAGAATTCCAAATTCCTCGGTTTTGAAAAAAGTATATTTTAATGTCAGAAATTGAATTATCGAAGAATTCGGCTGAAAAAAAAATCAAATTTCAGCTGAAAATAGCA